TGCTCATTACTACCAATCCTTTGTGAATATTTTCCTGGAGAGAACACAAACCCTGTGACATTTAGAGAGGAAACATGATGTCATGTTTCATACCTCACGGAAAAAACAGATTCAATATTATGTCAACTTAAAGGCACTGGGAAATGATCTCTTTGATTTCCACATGATAAAAATGTAAATATCACTCTTTCTTTTTAAAACAGGGTGTTATTGCTCTTGACACTGTCTGGTTGAGAAGTCCATCGACCTTTACATCATCATTCCTTTGGTTGCCCATCAATGTAATGACAAGTAGACATGCATCTGTAACTGCAGGTGTCATGAAGGTCCCCATATATCTTACAACAGCCTATATATATGTAAACTAACTCAATAAGGACACTAGGACTGCAAATTGTGTGGATATTCGAGTTGTGACAGACAGAGGACAGACCAGTTGAAATTTTACTCAATGGTGCCATCTAGTGGTTGTAAAAGCACCCTGTCTGAGACGGACGAAGATCCAATCCCTCTTGTAACACAGAAGTTTGAACAACAATAATCTGTTATATTTGCTGCAATAATTTGATTGCTTTGTCTACGGATTCATCTGCATTGCAATTATAAGTGTAGCATTAAAACACTAATTAATTAACTCAATTGTGGGTAGATTGATTAATTCTAAATAAACATGAGATTGCTGCAGCAAACGAGCTCTGCAGCAGCGTGGAGACATCTGGGACTGAGAGGAGAAGACATTTTGATTATCTTCAGACACGTGTAGTTGCAAATCTTTTAATTAACATGAGTAGATAGTGAGGTTGTTGAACATCTACAGTAGCTGCCTGTTATGTGTTCTCATATTTGGTCAGTTTATCAATGAGAAATGAGGCAGTAGATTTAAAATGCAGTGGTACTAGTGAAAGGGGATCGATCTATACTGGGGCATATCCATCATCACCTTTCAAGATTTTTTTAAAGAATGGGGCCTGTATATGCAAATTCAGCTACCAAAAAAGAGAATGAAATTAAGATCAAACAAAGCAGATGGTCACATAAATCATCTTTTCACATGTTGGACTGTTGCCCTTATTACAGAACAATGAATCACGTGATGTTTTGGAATAGTTTGGCCTTTCTGCTCTTGATCAGGTAAGACTATCATGAACGTGTTGACATTTAATTGGTTTGAAAATACAACAATCATGATAAAAATAGGGTGGTTAATAAGGTTATATTCAAGCTGAAGAAAACATATCAAGCTAGAATATCATGCTTTATTCCCTGACTTCTACCTACAGTACAGTACAGTATCACATGCATCATTTCTCATGCCACATAGTAGGCTAACTAAGCATGGTTCTGAACAGGGGTTCAGTGGAGGGGTTTGAACAATCTGTATCAATACAATCCAAGCCCTGGAATAGAGAGAGCAGTCAGTCAAAAAGCTGTCCTTTCTGAGGCTCTGTCAGGATCTGCACATACAGAAAAGCCTCATCAGAGAGATACTGCTAAAGTGCATGTAATACTTAGAGATTTAATGCAGGTTTTAATTGGATAGAGGCCCATTATTTTTCAATACAGAAGGGGCAGTGAGGCACATAAAGCTCTTGAATATTTTTGCAAATCGTGTTCAACAGCATAATGATTAACCATGGCACTAAATTTGCCTCACAAAATGAAAAGCAAACTTCATGCAAGGCGTAATTTAATTGTTTCCCTTCACATTTTCTGCCTTTCCATTGTTGGAAGCTTAACATTTTTAGTCTGCTCAACAGCTGCCTGCCTTGTGATGCTTGAGCTGCAACAATGTGATTGACAAATGTTTTGAAGTACTGTTGTCGCAGTGTGTTTTCACCTCCATACAGTCCCAGGGAATATTACATCATTTCCTGCTCAATTTGATGCCTTATGGAATTTTTTCCCACTTAGTTCTATTGATTACAGATCATCTACAGATAATTGATAAATCATTATGTATGGAGGACTGATCATTTGAAATCTCTATTTCAGTACTGTATCTTAGATTGTGTGTGTCCAAGGGTATGAGTGCAATAAGGTGTTTTATTATTATATATCAAAGAAATGCAATATTATTCCAATATAACCAACACAATATAGAGATATTTGTTTTCTCTAGGTATTATGTTTACTCAGGTTAAGATCATTTGACATAATGATCATTCACAAGTGGAATCATTTTAAACATTTGTCTGTTTGTTTACGGTAGTGTATGTTTCCAGGATTATGAAAGCATGAGTCAAATGTCTATTAGTCTCTTCAATGTCTGTTCAATCTGAAGAGAACACTGCCATCTGGGCAACAATTAGTGGAAATGCAATCTACCAGTCTGGGTCTATGCATGTCTGTGTTTCCTTAACACTTCTGAATCCTTATGGGACAAATAACATTTAACAATAGATTAATCAGATTGAGCATGCACATAGGGGGTCCTCTTAGCTTTCCCTTTAATGTGCATTCCTTCAAAATACTTTTTTGTAGACACCTGTAAGCATAAAAAAAATGCTTAAGAAGTATAAAAGATAATGCAGTACCAGGAAGAGGCAGGATGTACCGTTACTAGAGACACACAGAGGTAATGAAGGGGATCAATAGGATTAGGAAAAGCATTTTCTGTTTTGCCAGAAAAATTGACATTGAAATGGGAATAGTTTAACATAACTGTTATACCAGTAAATAATAAGTAAGTATTACAGAGATTGGAAAAATTAGGACATTCTGAGCTAGAACCAAAAACAATCAAGTCACTTTGAAGGACAATGGCCATTTTGGCACTTTTTAATTCATATCACCCCACGTTCGGTTTTAGTGTTCCCTGGATATATATATATTTTTTTTACAGTTACACCTGACCTGTGTAGTTAGTTCAGGGAACAACAACAATGCTCAACGGCAGCTTTCTAAATCCACCCTGAATCGGAACTTTCTTAATGCAGCATTGAGAGTTTCTGTTTTAGTTAGAAGATGCCACTGCTTCCTCATTGGTTTGTCTCCTACTGATTAGGGCTCTCATCTTATGTAAATCCTCTTAAGTCACATGTTATTGTTTATTGCAGTACTGTGAAGGTTAGGTGTTTCCTAAGCCCTGTGCGCTGTCTTATCTCCCCACCACATGCATCTTTGTCTCTCCAATGTCTCTGTTTTTTTCTTCTCTTTTTAATACACTAATGGATGAAAAAAGTTGTGGGAACTGAACTGATGTGATGTTCTTGTTGACAACCAATCCACTGCACTGAAATGCTCATCTCTCCCAGTGGCTAATAACAAAAACAGTTCAGGAGACAAAGAGATGTGATGTGTTGAGTGCTCCAGGAATATCACAATGTTATCTGAAAGTCTGTGGTTTTAGTGCGTCCTCAGAAATACACTTTGGTCAGCTTATAGTGGCCAGAGAATGCGGCGTAGAGAAAATGTTGCAGTTTTAAAGCAAGTTTTCTGTAATTCTAAACATTTTGCCATGGGGTGGAGAAATCTTTTCAGTTTTAAAGCAAATTTCCTGAAATTCTACACCTTTTGCCATGACTCATGCCATGTTAATATGATATCTGATTGACTAACAAAATCAATAGGGTCGTCCTGGAGATCAGGGTCCCTTCGTGCCTGGTCGGTAATTCGGCCATGATTTAGATAGCTGCTGGGTAGACTAACTTAACAATCTAAAAAATGTTAGCTGACATGGGCTAATTGAGTGACAGTCAGTGACTGACATACAGGAACACTCCAAACTCCACTATGGCCAAGACCAAAGAGCTGTCAAAGGACACCAGAAACAAAATTGTAGACCTGCACCAAGCTGGGAAGACTGAATCTGCAATAGGTAAGCAGCTTGGTTTGAAGAAATCAACTGTGGGAGCAATTATTAGGAAATGGAAGACATACAAGACCACTGATAATCTCCCTCGATCTGGGGCTCCACGCAAGATCTCACCCCGTGGGGTCAAAATTATCACAAGAACGGTGAGCAAAAATCCCAGAACCACACAGGGGGACCTAGTGAATGACCTGCAGAGAGCTGGGACCAAAGTAACAAAGCCTACCATCAGTAACACACTACGCCGCCAGGGACTCAAATCCTGCAGTGCCAGACGTGTCCCCCTGCTTAAGCCAGTACATGTCCAGGCCCGTCTGAAGTTCGCTAGAGTGCATTTGGATGATCCAGAAGAGGATTGGGAGAATGTCATATGGTCAGATGAAACCAAAATATAACTTTTTGAGAAAAACTCAACTTGTCGTGTTTGGAGGACAAATAATGCTGAGTTGCATCCAAAGAACACCATACCTACTGTGAAGCATGGGGGTGGAAACATCATGCTTTGGGGCTGTTTTTCTGCAAAGGGACCAGGACGACTGATCCGTGTAAAGGAAAGAATGAATGGGGCCATGTATCGTGAGATTTTGAGTGAAAACCTCCTTCCATCAGCAAGGGCATTGAAGATGAAACGTGGCTGGGTCTTTCAGCATGACAATGATCCCAAACACACCGCCCGGGCAACGAAGGAGTGGCTTCGTAAGAAGCATTTCAAGGTCCTGGAGTGGCCTAGCCAGTCACCAGATCTCAACCCCATAGAAAATCTTTGGAGGGAGTTGAAAGTCCGTGTTTCCCAGCGACAGCCCCAAAACATCACTGCTCTAGAAGAGATCTGCATGGAGGAATGGGCCAAAATACCAGCAACAGTGTGTGAAAACCTTGTGAAGACTTACAGAAAACGTTTGACCTGTAAACAAGAGGAAAACTGCTGATGCACAACCACATTTCGAAATTCCACCTTGTGTATTCTACTATTCTAACTCTCAACAGTAAGTTGAGACCCTGACTGAGTTCCTAGCATCCGGGGCACGTGCCCTTTGTGCCCGGTTGGGGCCCCCTAGCGGCCGGTTCTGGCTGTAACCTTTGACTAACCTCATGTTCTGGGAATGTTGGAAAGCAAGAAGTCAGCAATCCATCAATCATTGGCCTATTTGTGGGAAGGGCCGAACGCCCACCATAAAATGGGTGGTCCCTGGAGCTTCATGGAGACAAACACACTTTAGGTCTACTGCACGTTCATTTCTTCCTCACTTTCTACCAGACAATTTTTACTTGCACATGCTTGCCATCTGTGATCTGGATAAATTGAGTGAAAACAATTTTTTTATGGAAGTAACGTCCTAGGGGACCGAGGACCTGCAAGTCTGGTCAAGTTTGCTAAATATTGCGAAATCTAGGCTACTTCCTGGGAATGTATTTTTGTCTCTCTCTCTTGTTGTGAAAGGTGTGTCTACTTGTGAAATATTTGTTCGTTGTATGTCCCATCTCAGCAAAACATTTTCTAACTGACATTATAGGCCTATGCCCAGAGCTTCTAAAAGAGAAAGAAAAAATGTTAAACCAAAGCAGGATTCTTATAAAAGGAGGGAAAATTGTGAACGAGGATTGCTCCATTATCAGTGATGTCTACATTGAAGACGGACAAATTAAAGAAGTCGGATTAAACCTCCAAATCCCGGTCCGGAGTTATCGTTATAGATGCCACTGATAAACTGGTGATACCGGGTGGTATCGATACCCATACCCACATGGAGTTGGCGTTTATGGGCACCAAAGCAGTAGATGATTTCCATATTGGAACTAAGGTAAGAATAGTTTTGTGTTGTTTGATTTCACTGCATTAGGAATATTCACTAGTAAATCAGAACAAAAATAATTACAGTGCCTTCAGAAAGTATTCATAACCCTTGACTTATTCCACATTTTGTTGGGGAATTCAAAAAGGATTAAATAGATGTCTTTCTCTCCCATCTACACACAATAACCCATAATGACAAAGTGAATAGATGTTTTTAGAAATGTTCACAAATTCATTTACATAAGTATTCACACCCCTCAGTCAATACTTCGTTGAATAACCTTTGGCAGAAATTACAGCTGTGTGTCTTTCTGGGTAAGTCTCTAAAAGCTTTCCACACATGGATTGTGCAACATTTGCTCATTATTCTTTTCAAAATTCTTCAAGCTCTGTCAAATTGGTTGTTAATCATTGCTAGACAACCATTTTCAGGTCTTGCCATAGACCTTCAAGGAGATTTAAGTCAAAACTGTAACTCGAACCACTCAGGAATATTCATTGACTTCTTGGTAAGCAACTCCACTGTAGGTTGGCCTTGTGTTTTAGGTTATTGTCCTGCTGAAAGGTGAATTAATCTACCAGTGTTTGGTGGAAAGCAGACTGAACCAGATTTTCCTCTAGGATTTTGCCTGTGCTTAGCTCCATTCTGTTAATTTTTTATCCTGAAAAACTCGCCAGTCCTTAATGAGTACAAGCATACCCATAACATGATGCAGCCACCACTATGCTTGAAAATATGGAGAGTGGTACTAAGTAATGTGTTGTATTGGATTTGCCCCAAACATAACACTTTGTATTCATGACAAAAAGTGAATTGCTTTGCCAAATGTTTAGCAGTCAATTAGGTTAGTATTGTGGAGTAACTACAATGTTGTTGATCCTTCCTCAGTATTTTTCTATCACAACCATTAAACTCTGTAACTGTTTTAAAGTCACCATTTGCCTCGTGGTGAAATCCCCTGAGCAGTTTCCTTCCTTTCCGGCAACTGAGTTAGGAAGGACGCTTGTATTTTTGTAGTGACTGGGTGTAGTTATACACCATTCAAAGTGTAATTAATAACTTCACCATGCTCAAAGGGATATTCAATGTCTACATTTTTTTTTATCCCATCTACCAATAGGTACCCTTCTTTGCAAGGCATTGAAAAACCTCCCTGGTCTTTGTGGTTGAATCTGTGTTTGAAATTCACTGCTCGACTGAGGGACCTTACAGATAATTAATTGTATGTTTCTGGGTACAGAGATGAGGTAGTCATTAAAAAATCCTGTTAAATACTAGTATTGCACACAGAGTGAGTCCATGCAACTTATTAAGCACATTTTTACTCCTGAACGTATTTAGGCTTGGCATAACAAAAGGGGTTGAATACTTATTGACTCAAGACATTTCAGCTTTTCATTTTTAATTAATATGTAAACATTTCGAAAAACATAATTCCACTTTTACATTATGGGGTATTGTGTGTAGGCCAGTGACAAAACATCTAAATGTAATCCATTTAAAATTCAGGCTGTAACACAACAACATTTGGGTGTGAATATTTTCTGAAGGCACTGTAGTTGTCTGTCTTTTCTGTATTAGAGGTAGGATACATAAAACCCCATTTAATGAAGTACATACTGTACCTTTACATAATTAAAAACATATAATCAGTAGGCTATTAAACAAAAAAAGCATTATAATGTGCAGTAGATGGCCGATGCTGCAGAAATGCAAGTACATTTTTCAGTGCTGAAAGTACAGTGTAGCCTACCACTTCCCTGTAAAGTGCACTCCTCCATAACGTTTCATTGAGAGGTGTGATCAACCACCCCCCATCATCAACATCATCATTACACTGCAGTGTATTTTTATACTGAAAAAGTATAAAAGAGCATTAGTGAGGCATTAGTCGGGCACTGATGTTGGGCGATTAGACCTGGCTCGCAGTCGGTGTTCCAATTCATCCCATAGGTGTTAGATAGGTTGAGGTCAGGGCTCTGTGCAGGCCAGTCAAGTTCTTCCACACCGATCTCGACAAACCATTTCTGTATGGACCTCGCTTTGTGCACGGGGGCATTGTCATGTTGAAACAGGAAAGGGCCTTCCCCAAACTGTTGCCACAAGTTGGAAGCACGGAATAGTCTAGAATGTCATTCATTGTATGCTGTAGCGTTAAGATTTCCCTTCACTGGAACTAAGGGGCCTAGCTCGAACCAGCCCCAGACCTTTATTCCTCCTTTACAGTTGGCACTATGCATTGGGGCAGGTAGCGTTCTCCTGGCATCCGCCAAACCCAGATTCGTATGTCGGACTGCCAGATGGTGAAGCGTGATTCATCACTCCATAGAACACGTTTCCACTGCTCCAGAGTCCAATGGCGGTGAGCTTTACACCACTCCAGCTGACGCTTGGCATTGCACATGGTGATCTTAGGCTTGTGAGCGGCTGCTCGGCCACGGAAACCCATTTCATGACGAACAGTTATTGTGCTGACGTTGCTTCGAGAGGCAGTTTGGAACTCGGTAGTGAGTGTTGCAACCGAGGACAGACGATTTTTACGTGCTACACGCTTCAGCACTCGGCGGTCCTGTTCTGTGAGCTTGTGTGGCGTTGTTGCTCCTAGACCTTTCCACTTCACAATAACAGCACTTACAGTTGGCCAGGGGCAGCTCTAGCAGGGCAGAAATTTGCCGAACTGACTTGTTGGAAAGGTGGCATCCAATGACGGTGCCATGTTGAAAGTCTGAGCTCTTCAGTAAGGCCATTCTACTGCCAAAGTTTGTCTATGGAGATTGCATGGCTGTGTGCTTGATTGTATACACCTGTCAGCAACAGGTGTGGCTGAAATAGCCTAATCTACTAATTTGAAGGGGTGTCCACATATTTTTGTATATATAGTGTACTTTGAAGAGGTAGTGATTGGGTCTGTATAGGTGTTTAGCGTTTGGTAGTCTAAATTCAGTGTACTTGCCTTTAACTGCCATTTCCTGAAAGTCAGACTCTTCCCACATGCCAACTCAGAAGCATCTGCATTCACCAAATGTTGTGTGGTTATCCTTATATATGTATATATATATATATATATATATATATATATATATATATTCTCCAGACTTGCCCAGAGTGAATTGTTGATATGTTGGCATATTTTTTTTATTGTAGATAACCTTTTCTTTGGAAAAATGCACCAAACATGCATTTTATGTACATGTCTTTAGTAAGATGAAAAAAAGTATTTATCCACAATATGCTCTGGACAAGTCCGGTTCTGAAGTGTCTTAACAAAATGAAACCAAAATATTTAGGCTTACTTCATCCAGTGTCCAGAAAAATAGAGTTGTGCGATATGCACATATGTGCATATTTAATGAGATATCACCTCATTTGCATATTTTAATAACATATTTCAGTTATTTTTTTTTTACAAAAAAACGTTTTTATTTCCATGTCTACATTCAACTGGTACAAATGTATAATGATATGATTAAGGGCCTTAAATCAATGTGCCCTAGTTAACATGCATTACAATTATTGACTGTTAACACAACAACTGAGCCTTTTCCTTCTCAAAGCAACTGTTCAGAGTATTCAGAAGTTGTTGATTGTGCTCTTCACAAGTCCTTAGTGTCAGCCCTAGCTATGGAAACACAACTTCCCCAAAAATAACACTACGTCTTACACCCCAAAAAAGATTGGGACCCAGGCCAGATGGGGAAATGCCATTATGTCATGCTCAAATTATCTCAAAGTAACTTTAAACCAAGTAATTTAACTCCCTTGCAGAGATGATTTGGGCATGGAATGAAAATTATGCGAACTGAGGGACATTGACTTGCATCTAATATTAGTGGTTGGTACAGTGGCTATTTTTAACAAAACCAAAGCATGGATTGCATTCTCTCCTTGTACATAATCTGTCTACACTCTAACCCCAAACGCTATCTGTAGTAAACTCTAACCCTGCTCTCCATTGAACCTAAACCCTGTTCTGTGTATCTCAATCCATGGAACCTAAACCCTGTTCCGTGTATCTCTATCCATGGAACCTAAACCCTGTTCCGTGTATGTCTATCCATGGAACCTAAACCCTGTTCCGTGTATCTCTATCCATGGAACCTAAACCCTGTTCTGTGTATCTCTATCCATGGAACCTAAACCCTGTTCCGTGTATCTCTATCCATGGAACCTAAACCCTGTTCTGTATATATCTCTATCCATGGAACCTAAACCCTGTTCTGTTTATCTCTATCCATTGAACCTAAACCCTATTCCGTACATCTCTATCCACGCTGTCCTGGAAAGTGGCAGGAGGCACTATCATGATCCTGGACTACACCGTAAACATTACCCCCTCATATCCACCCCTCTCTAAACCCTAACCTATCTACATCATACCCTAACCCTGCTCTCTGTACCCAGGCTGCCCTGGCAGGAGGGACCCCACTCCTGGATATACCCCATACCACCACCCCTAAACCCTAACCCCCTCTCTAAACCCTAACCCTGCTCTCTGTACCCAGAATGCCCTGGCAGGAGGGACCACCCTCCTGGATATACCCCATTCCACCACCCCTAAACCCTAAATCCTAACCCCTTTTCTAAACCCTAACCCTGCTCTCTGCACCCAGGCTGCCTTGGCAGGAGGGACCACCATGATCCTAGACTTTGTGATCCCCCAGAGAGGCACGTCCCTGCTGGAGGCCTATGATAGGTGGAGGGACACGGCTGACGCCAAGGTCTGCTGTGACTACTCCCTCCATGTGGCCGTCACATGGTGGAGCGACAAGGTAGTGCCACATCAGGGCCATCATGCCCGTTTTTATCTATAATCTATTTTCTAACCTGAAAATACAAATATCAAATTTGCCCATCAGAACCCAAAAATTTTTTATGCATCAGACTCATGCTCATGTGACGAGGTAGCCTTCCCAGCACCCTGTATTTCTATCCCAAGTAAGAGACTGGGGTTCCCATCAGTTACATTTGTACAGATCGTTACAAAATAAGTAACCATTTCTGTCCCAGACTGAAATGTTTCATTTATTTGTCTTGATCTGTGAATGTTTTGTGAGATTGGGCAGGATTTAAAACGTTGTTTATTCTGGCCTGACGCCATCAAATCTATAGGGATTTTATAAAATAGCGGACTTGTTTTGAAAATGAGGGACACTGTTACTGTAGATTCAATCCAGTCAGCGGTAGATCAGCGTTATAGCACGCTTGACATTTAAAGGTAATTTCCACTTGAGACAAAAAATTGTTTATGGTGAATGCTGTCTCCGCCAAAGCGGGAATATTGCCTTTAAAAGGTGCATCTCCAGCAAAGAACTGAATCCCGGCCTTAATCTCAGCAATATCTACTTATAAATAAAAATACCATGTGGTAATAGACTCCATGGAGACCTGGGATGGACAGTATGTCAATACATGGTTTTTACAGAGATGTTAACAGTCTTATCTCTCAGCATTGCAAAGAAAAGCATCAAAACTAATTTGCTTTTTGCTAAAACCCTTCTAGGTCAAGAAGGAAATGGAGACTTTGGCCAAAGAGAAAGGTGTCAACTCCTTCAAGATGTTCATGGCATACAAGGATGTGTTCATGCTTCAAGACCATGAGCTGTATGCTGCGTTTTCCCAATGCAAAGAGATTGGAGCTATAGCCCAGGTGCACGCAGAGAATGGAGACCTTATTGCAGAGGTATTCCCAAACATTCCTGACCACAACAAAGCCAATATGGCTCAAACCAGGGGTTCGTTCAGTTCGCTTCAATGTTTGCAACGTTGTGTGACGGTTTGTACTGAACGACACATTGCCACCAAATGGTACGCACCATTCTTCAACAGCCTTTGAGGTAAGTTTGCTCAAGTTTGGTGGGTGTGGTGAGGTGTGCCCTGATCAATTTAAGTGTGACCATTTGAAATCATAAAAATCATGCAGCAAACCATATGGTAACTGCCGTCTGGGCCACCATAATCACAAAATGTTTCAACTGGTCGTTCAGTACATTACTGCTTTCATTGAATTTAACGTTGCACACTGTTCTGTCGTACTGAACGCTCCCCGGAAAAAAACATGGAACCTTGTGGGTAACAATGTACCCATACAATATCCCATGAACCAGGACTGAACAAAGGTTAATTTATCAACTGTTGGTGAGAAAATACAAATGACCTATTTTGACAGACTAAGCAAATACATTATGTTGAGAAAGGTTCAGTCAGGAGTTCCTATTGACTGTCTGCTCAGTGTGTAAGTATTCCAGAGGTCATTGGTTTACGTTAATGTTTAATCCTGATGTAACCTAATAGATGACTAAACAAGAAACAAGCCATGCAAAACTAACCGTATCCAAGCCATGCAAAACTATCCCTATCCAAGCCATGCAAAACTATCCCTATCCAAGCCATGCAAAACTAACCCTATCCAAGCCATGCAAAACTAACCCTATCCAAGCCATGCAAAACTAACCCTATCCAAGCCATGCAAAACTATCCCTATCCAAGCCATGCAAAACTAACCCTATCCAAGCCATGCAAAACTAACCCTATCCAAGCCATGCAAAACTATCCCTATCCAAGCCATGCAAAACTATCCATATCCAAGCCATGCAAAACTAACCCTATCCAAGCCATGCAAAACTATCCCTATCCAAGCCATGCAAAACTAACCCTATCCAAGCCATGCAAAACTAACCCTATCCAAGCCATGCAAAACTAACCCTATCCAAGCCATGCAAAACTAACCCTATCCAAGCCATGCAAAGCTAACCCTATCCAAGCCATGCAAAACTAACCCTATCCAAGCCATGCAAAACTAACCCTATCCAAGCCATGCAAAACTATCCCTATCCAAGCCATGCAAAACTAACCCTATCCAAGCCATGCAAAACTAACCCTATCCAAGCCATGCAAAGCTAACCCTATCCAAGCCATGCAAAACTAACCCTATCCAAGCCATGCAAAACTAACCCTATCCAAGCCATGCAAAACTAACCCTATCCAAGCCATGCAAAACTAACCCTATCCAAGCCATGCAAAACTAACCCTATCCAAGCCATGCAAAACTAACCCTATCCAAGCCATGCAAAACTAACCCTATCCAAGCCATGCAAAACTAACCCTATTCAAGCCATGCAAAACTAACCCTATCCAAGCCATGCAAAGCTAACCCTATCCAAGCCATGCAAAACTAACCCTATCCAAGCCATGCAAAACTAACCCTGTCCAAGCCATGCAAAACTAACCCTATCCAAACCATGCAAAACTAACCCTATCCAAGCCATGCAAAACTAACCCTATCCAAGCCATGCAAAACTAACCCTATCCAAGCCATGCAAAACTAAGTGCAAAGGGAGGAAAACTCTGACCTGCACCTGCTGAAATGTTTGTGCTTACTGTATATCCCTGTTGCAGTAAAGAAAAACTTTCAAGGCTGCTGTTATTTATGAACCACATGTTTGTGTTATGTTGGAGTTTAAAATACCTTTACAGGGTCTGCAGAAAAGTCTAGATGATGAAGTTCTACTCTTGGTGATGTAAGATTTGACAGTTGGTTATGACATACTTTTTCTAAGGTACTGGTTAGAAATGTTCCCTCTGGGATTAATAAAGTACCAATATTTACATCTATCTAGCACAGTATGCACAGTATGTCCTTGAACTAGTTAACATTGAAGACACTGCCATGTTTTCAATCCTCACCTCAGTGGATAGCTATTGCTATCTAGTTGTGCTGTCTTTGAGACTCTTTACTCATGTTGGTAAATAAGGAGCACACACATTGATTCTATTGCAGCCCAACATAACTATGGAATGTCAAATCAAATAATGTATGACAATAACATATCACACGTGTTAGTATTACAAAACCCACTGCAAACAGACACACAGTCTTCTTCATCTTTGTCGGTCCTATTCTCTCCTTTCATCTCATGTACCTTATCGTGTGTCATCAAGGTGCTTCCTAGAACACAGCCAACATACTCTTATCATCGGCAGTCATTTGGTCATGTGATATAGGACATAAGAATACCATTTATGTGTCATGGCCTACATAACGGCACATGAACAGTAGCTCATTTCATTCTACCATATGAGGTACGGGAACCAAACCAAACTTGTTTTGCAGTGTCATGTTTTGCAATCTCATGACACTGGAGTTACAGTTCATAGCTTTTATGTTTATCATTTTATAATTGATCATTTACCCCTCTGTCATTCACTATAGCATTCATTCTTTCTCACATTTGAAAATTAAGTAATGTTGCTGTGAAGGTTTCTATGTTGCCGCAATGTGGAAGCAAAGAGATTCTATGCATAATACATTATTTACTAAGGGGGAAACTATTTGACTTCTCTTATTTCGTTTATTCCTTGTCAATGTCTTAAGGGGCAAGGTTCATTACAGTAACTGTCCTCTGTTTAAGCTGAACAGGTGGGTCGGTGTTAACCTGAAAAGATACTAAAATCAGTGTTCACTCAATCCAATATCAGTTACACAAAAAGTCCAAGGATCAACACCTAGTTCTGTTTGATTCAGGTTGGAATGTTCTAGCTCTAGATTGTCAACTTTCTTTTCCAAGTTGAGGTCTGTAGAATAACCACTAGAGGGCAGCAGATGCCCAATCTGTAGTCTGTTTTTGGTGACAGAAACTATTCAGGAGATACATACATTTATTGGGAGCATGTTTAGAGTGAGTTTACAACTCCTTGATGAATATTTTATGTAAACGATTAGCAACTAAACTTCCATAGAGTAGTATTTGTAATACACCCGTTGTCTGTTGTCAAAAAGCATGTAACATGTCAGCTTCCTCCCTCAACGCTACCTGAGGAAAACCTATTTGCGTCATGGTGTAATATTCTATGCTAATCTGCTCCTACTTGTATAACCTTTTGTAACTATTTCTGTGAATATTTCACAAAAGTTTATCTGTGTCACACAGGCAGTTTTTTTTATCTGCCATTTAGGGGCATTTTTGAAACTGACCTTCTCTCACTTGGCAGGGGGCTAAGAAGATGCTGTCCCTGGGCATCACAGGTCCGGAGGGTCATGAGTTGTGTCGTCCTGAGGAGGTGGAGGCTGAGGCCACTCAGAGAGCCATCACCATCGCCCACGCTGTCAACTGCCCGCTCTATGTGGTCCACGTCATGAGCAAGTCTGCCGCTAAGGTTGTGTCCAACGCACGCAGAGATGGTGAGTGGGCCTGACACTGCCTGCTGGGAGGAACTGTGGGTGGGAAAGAATGACAGAGAGAGAGAGAAAAGTGAGAGAGACTGAGAGAGAGACATACAGAGACAGAGAGAGAGAGAGAGAGGCTAAACATGACATGGATGGTGATCTGTGTTATGTATGCATGGTTGTAGAGATGTTTGTACCCCAACAGGCCGTGTGGTGTTTGGTGAGCCCATAGCAGCAGGACTGGGTACAGATGGCACCCACTACTGGCACAAAGACTGGGCCCACGCTGCCAAGTTCGTCATGGGCCCACCTCTGAGGCCCGACCCCAGCACCCCGGGATACCTCATGGACCTACTGGCAAAGTATGTGGAGCCTTAGCCAATATCAACCTGATCTCACTGTTCCTCTTCTGCCCTTTTCACTGAGTAAAGCACATTAGGTTACACCTTCCGTGCACCCACTGTCACATAAGTGCTCCATAACACTGTCATAACAATGACATAACAGATGTTATAAGCAGTCATGACTAGTGCTATCAGCATATTACCCCATACACCACCCAGGAACACATGAACTGGGAAGGTGAACAACAATGCCAAACACAGTGGAATCTTTGAAAAAGAAAGGAAAGTGAAGTGTAACTGCATATTGTCGGTGCAATAGAAATGAATGACAGGCAGTAAAGATGGCTGCCTTACCGTTTAGTGATGTACAGTGGGGAGAACAAGTATTTGATACACTGCCAATTTTGCAGGTTTTCCTACTTACAAAGCATGTAGAGGTCTGTAATTTTTATCATAGGTACACTTCAACTGTGAGAGACCGAATCTAAAACAAAAATCCAGAAAATCACATTGTATGATTTTTAAGTAATTAATTTGCATTTTATTGCATGACATAAGTATTTGATCACCTACCAACCAGTAAGAATTCCGGCTCTCACAGACCTGTTAGTTTTTCTTTAAGAAGCCCTCCTGTTCTCCACTCATTACCTGTATTAACTGCACCTGTTTGAACTCGTTACCTGTATAAAAGACACCTGTCCACACACTCAATCAAACAGACTCCAACCTCTCCACAATGGCCAAGACCAGAGAGCTGTGTAAGGACATCAGGGATAAAATTGTAGACCTGCACAAGGCTGGGATGGGCTACAGGACAATAGGCAAGCAGCTTGGTGAGAAGGCAACAACTGTTGGCGCAATTATTAGAAAATGGAAGAAGTTCAAGATGATGGTCAATCACCCTCGGTCTGGGGCTCCATGCAAGATCTCACCTCGTGGGGCATCAATGATCATGAGGAAGGTGAAGGATCAGCCCTGAACTACACGGCAGGACCTGGTTAATGACCTGAAGAAAGCTGGGACCACAGTCTCAAAGAAAACCATTAGTAACACACTACGCCGTCATGGATTAAAATCCTGCAACGCACGCAAGGTCCCCCTGCTCAAGCCAGCGCATGTCCAGGCCCGTCTGAAGTTTGCCAATGACCATCTGGATGATCCAGAGGAGGAATGGGAGAAGATCATGTGGTCTGATGAGACAAAAATAGAGCTTTTTGGTCTAAACTCCACTCGCCGTGTTTGGAGGAAGAAGAAGGATGAGTACAACCCCAAGAACACCATCCCAATCGTGAAGCATGGAGGTGGAAACATCATTCTTTGGGGATGCTTTTCTGCAAAGGGGACAGGACGACTCCACCGTATTGAGGGGAGGATGGATGGGGCCATGTATCGCGAGATCTTGGCCAACAACCTCCTTCCCTCAGTAAGAGCATTGAAGATGGGTCGTGGCTGGGTCTTCCAGCATGACAACGACCCGAAACACACAGCCAGGGTAACTAAGGAGTGGCTCCGCAAGAAGCATCTCAAGGTCCTGGAGTGGCATGGCCAGTCTCCAGACCTGAACCCAATAGAAAATCTTTGGAGGGAACTGAAAGTCCGTATTGCCCAGCGACAGCCCCGAAACATGAAGGATCTGGAGAAGGTCTGTATGGAGGAGTGGGCCAAAATCCCTGCTGCAGTGTGTGCAAACCTGGTCAAGACCTACAGGAAACGTATGAGCTCTGTAATTGCAAACAAAGGTTTCTGTACCAAATATTAAGTTCTGCTTTTCTGATGTATCAAATACTTATGTCATGCAATAAAATGCTAATTAATTACTTAAAAATCATACAATGTGATTTTCTGGATTTTTGTTTTAGATTCCGTCTCTCACAGTTGAAGTGTACCTATGATAAAAATTACAGACCTCTACATGCTTTGTAAGTAGGAAAACCTGCAAAATCGGCAGTGTATCAAATACTTGTTCTCCCCACTGTAGATGCTTCTGTTTCATTCTTCCAGTGATGACCTCAGTGTGACTGGGACAGACCACTGCACATTCTCTGTGTGTCAGAAGGCCCTGGGCAAAGACGACTTTACAAAGATCCCCAACGGAGTCAACGGAGTGGAGGACAGGATGTCTGTCATTTGGGAGAAGGGCGTTGTCAGTTAGGCCTCTCATTCTGCTCCCCCGGCATATCACATCCTTCTTTATTATATACACTATAGGCCAGTTTCCCGGACAGATTAAACATATAGTCCTAAACCAAAAAGCAGACTCATGGAGATTCTCCATTGAAAGTGCTTTTCTTTGTCCAGGACTAGGCTTAATCTGTGTCCAGGATACAGGCCCTACAAAAATGAGTGGTACTATTTTCAGACGGTTGATTCAATTCTATAGTAGGAGTTAATAGGTGCCAAGTGACATTTCTGCTGTGAGAAGAGAAGATAATAATTGATATTATGCAATTTATTATGTGCATCAAGGAAGTTTTTATCTGTCAGAATCAATCCAAACTGTCATAGTGGAAGTTTTTATCTGTCAGAATCAATCCAAACTGTCATAGTGGAAGTTATTATCTGTCAGAATCAATCCAAACTGTCATAGTGGAAGTTTTTATCTGTCAGAATCAATCCAAACTGTCATAGTGGAAGTTATTATCTGTCAGAATCAATCCAAACTGTCATAGTGGAAGTTATTATCTGTCAGAATCAATCCAAACTGTCATAGTGGAAGTTATTATCTGTCAGAATCAATCCAAACTGTCATAGTGGAAGTTATTATCTGTCAGAATCAATCCAAACTGTAATAGTGGAAGTTATTATCTGTCAGAATCAATCCAAACTGTCATAGTGGAAGTCGCAGCAGATGTATCTTGTAGCAGAAGCAGGTCGTCTTTCTTCTCTCCTCTCTGTCCATTTCATTTCTTATCCTTCCTCCACCCTCCTTCTCGCCTTCTCAAATTGTCTACATGCCTTCTTGATGGCCAGTACTCCTCTCCCTGCTAAACAATAAGTAGCTGTAGTGGCTATGCTATAGCGAGTTGATACTGACAGAAGTACAGCGTCGATATGCTGCTACATGTACTTGGAAGTGTACTTCACAGAAGTCAATCGCTGCTGTAGGTATATTGTAAATGCGGAGTCATAATGACATCGACACGAGATGCTGCGTTACGTTTCTGTCCAGTAGTGCATTCCATTAGCTACTATCGCTAATACATCTGTATCGTCTAGTCGTTGATGCGAGCAATCGCATTTCTCATCTACTGGTAGTCGCTGCTCACTGATATTAATCCATTATCATATGCTATCTTCGACATTGTTGTCCGATCATTACATTACTCCTCACATTCATCATCCTTCGGTAGTCTAGTTCTGATAATGGACGAATTCATACCATACCTTCCTAGTACTTCTTTCTGTCCTTTCGTCATGCAATATTCTTCTTCACTACCATCCCTATCACTTCTTCTGCCTTCTATCAGAAATGCTTTACCGTACCCGGAGCATGCAAATTAACATTGAGAACTGGCAAAAATTCATTTTTATTTGGATGAACTTAATCGCTTACTGCACTTAAGCATTGACCTTGTCGGATTATGTCAGTAGGATGTACACCTTATCGTATTTGAATTACTTTCGACTACGGGAATGCGATCATTGTAGCGTTCGTCAGCTCAGTTGCAATCTTCACTTCTTCCCCCTCCTTACTGATTTTCTTGTCCTTCCTCAGGAAACAAGCTTTTCTCTTAACCTTCGGAGGCATTCAAACTTTATATCATTGTGTACGCTTGCCAAAAATTTCACTTCTTCGTATTGGAGTGAATCTTTGAATCGCTTACTGCACACTTAAGCATTGACCTTTTGTCAGGTGAATTATGTCAGTAAATATGGAATTTGTCATTCATATCCAGGATATTGAAACTCAGTATTTTGTGTAATTACTTTCCGCAGCATAGCGGGAAAATGGACGAGAATCGATTTGTAGCCGTCACCAGCAGCAATGCAGCGAAAATCTTCAACTTCTACCCCCAGAAGGGAAGGATCGCTAAGGGATGTGATGCTGATGTGGTCATATGGGATCCTAAGGCAACCAGGTGAGACAAGGATAAAGACCATCAAAGACGTTTCTCATTAAACACATAGTGAATTAGTGATGTTTAGCTAAATTATTAACTGTTTTGATGATGATGTTTTTTTAATCTTTGTGTATGCATATTGTCCAACTAGTAGCATTTCATCACTGCTATTAACTTCTTACACTGCAGATGGTGCTGACAAATTGAGCTTGCCACAAAGCCTGTCTTCAGGGTGAAAAACATTTGTCTAAATAAAAAAAGAGTTTCATGTTAACTAGCTATGGTACAGCCTGGATATAACTATAATACAGCCTGGATTTAACTAGCAATGGTACAGCCTGGATATAACTAACGTTAGCTAGGGTAGCTACAGCCTGGATATAACTAGATATGGTAGGCCTACAGCCTGGATATAACTAGCTATGGTACAGCCTGGATATAACTAACGTTTGCTATAGTACAGCCTGGAAATAACTAGCTATAGTACAGCCTGGATATAACTAGCTATGGTACAGCCTGGATATAACTAGCTATGGTACAGCCTGGATATAACTAACTATGGTACAGCCTGGATATAACTAGCTATGGTACAGCCTGGATATAACTAACTATGGTACAGCCTGGATATAACTAGCTATGGTACAGCCTGAATATAACTAACTATGGTACAGCCTGGATATAACTAACTATGGTACAGCCTGGATATAACTAACTATGGTACAGCCTGGATATAACTAGCTATGGTACACGCCTGGATATAACTAACTATGGTACAGCCTGGATATAACTAACTATGGTACAGCCTGGATATAACTAAGCGTATAGGTACAGCCTGAATATAACTAACTATGGTACAGCCTGGATATATTAACACTAAACTACTAGGTACAGCCTGGATATCTGGATAACCTAAACTAACTATGGTACAGCCTGGATATAACTAGCTATGGTACAGCCTGGATATAACTAGCTA